GGGGGGTGGGGGGAGGGAAGGAGACATATGTACCACTCTTTGTAATATTTTAAGCAATAAAAAAAAATTAAAAAAAGAAAGAAAATGGAACAGTGGTTGCCAAGGGCTGGGAGAAAGGGGAAGTAGGGAGTTAGTATTTAATGCACATGGAGGTTTCAGTTTGGGATGATGAAAAAATTCGGGAGATGGATGGTGCTAATGGTTGCACAATAATGTGAATGTGCTTTATGTCACTGAAATGTACATTTTAAATGGTAAAATAGTAAATTTTATATTAGGTATATTTTATCACACACACTCACAAACAAAAGCTATCTCAAATAAAAGTAATTCAGGTGTAATGTTTGAGCAAAAAAAAAAATGTTCTGATGTAGATCTGCATGGATTTTCTGTCTTACCCTCTGGTTTTTGTCTTTCCCTCCTATCACTGTCTTTTTATTACAAGGCAGAGTCTATTTAAAATAAACTTAATTTCATTGTGAATTATCTATTATCTTCTCAACAAACTACTCTATAGTGGTTCTGTAAAGATGGTCTTCTAACCAGCAGCATCAGCTTCATTGGTGAACTTGTTTAGAAATATAATTTCTTAGGCCCCTCTGAAGACCTACTGAGTTAGAATCTCTGGGGTAGACCCAGCAACCTGTGTTTTAACAAATCCTTCAGGAACTGGGGGTGAACAGTTAAGTTTGGGAAACACCAGTCTATTGTAGATCATGTGTTGCCTTAATCCCACCACCATGTAAAAGATTTTTATATCCAAATTCTATTTATGGAATGATCAATACAAGTCACAATCCTTGAACGTTATCTTCCCCACAAAGCCAATACCTCTTTTCTCCAAAATATGACATATAAATTGGAGAAATGTAAAATTTAGAATAGACTATTACAAAGAAGCACATTTCTTGATAGATTTGCCAACACAGTATGTAGAAAGACATCTGTGAGATGCATCTCAAGATTTTTCCTCTTCTGAACATCTGTGAGATGGAGGAAATTTTACTTTGGTGAAGGCAGTGCATGTGCCAAAAAATATAGGGAGCTGGCTTAAAATAAGACTTAGAGGTTATAAACTGACATATCCACCCTTTTAAAGCAATCAGTTTGTGTTTTGTGTGTGAATTATAGTCATTAGAATAGAAATCAATGAGAGATGAATGAGAGTACACAAATTACAAATAAAAATTGCCACACTATTTTTACCTTTCCTCCCCCTAAACTACAATATTGTTTATGTGCTCTATGCTACTTACCACATGTAACAGTGCACATTCCAAATTCTACTTCTTTAACTACTTTCATTTCTGAACCTAAACATAAAATACAAAAACACATTATTTAATCACTTGAAAACTTTTCTAAGTGAAAAGCTCTTACTTGGGGATGGAGATGCAAGTACTTGTCATATGGGAAGCAGACATTTTATTTTATTTTTTAATATATTCCTATTTCTTTCAGAGAGGAAGGGAGAGGGAGAGACAGAAACACCAATGATGAGAGAGAATCATTGATTGGCTGCCTCCTGCACACCTCCCACTGGGGATTGAGCCCACAACCCGGGCATGCGCCCTTGACCAGAATTGAACTTGGGACCCTTCAGTCTGCAGGCCTATGCTCTATATATTGAGCCAAACCAGCTAGGGCTGGGAAGCAGACATTTTAAAAAGTGTTATTAAATCAGAAAAGCAATACTATTCCTAGTACATCTATTATTGTTTACATCAAAAGAAGCCTAAGCCTTTAAAGTAATAAATCAAGAAATAACTTGCAAGGAAAGTTTATATGACTTAAAAAAAATAATTTTTCATTACTTTAATACATGATGAGTTTAAAGTCCTATAGAATGTCAGAAAAAAAACAAACAAAAATACCCAGCCAATTGTAAGGTCCAATTTTTTCCAATTCTCTATTTTCTGAAAAATTTGAGTGTATCATTTTCATCCAAAACAAAAGTCTCTATACCAAGTGTTCATTAAAATCATGTATTATAGATTGGTTCTACTATTCCTAACACTTTATTAGTAGGATAATCTAGGAATACACAAGAATTTGATTAAATATCATTGGGTTCAAATCACATAATACAGGGCTTCTTTTTTCTCATCATTCTGAAGTTTGGCATGAATTCCCCTTGCTGTAGTGTATAACCCATTCTTCATAGCTCACATTAAGACTAAACTCTCAAAGGATAAAAATATTAAATGAGGTATTAGAAGATAATTTTTAAAAGGTATTATATCCTGAGGAAACAATGTTACATGGGAAAATGCATTAGAGTTAAAGCCAAATTGCTGCTTCTACCACTAATTAGCTGCTTTGAGTTTGAGTAAGTTACTTAAACTCTTTCAGGCCTAGTGAACCTTTCTGTAAAATTTGCAAAGGAGAATCTATTTCACTGATAATTGTGAGAATTAAATGAGAGAATGTGTGTGAAAACATTCTGTAACTTGTCTTCTGCTATAAAAATGCTTAAGAGATAACCTCATTCTCACTCATTTTGCACTTATTGATTTCATATCATTCATAGATTTTTTCTATTTTTATTACAGCAAGACAATATTTTTATAGTTTTAATATGCTTACTAGAGGCCCGGGGCAGGGGGGGGGGTTGTCCCCTCCGCCCGGCCTGCACCCTCTCGCAGTCCAGGACTCCTCAGGGGATTTCCGCTTGCCAGCAGTTGGACATCTCTCTTGCAGTTCGGACCCCTCGCTCCTTACTGCCTGCCCGCTCACTGCTTCTTACTGCTCAGCTCACTGCTCCTTAGCACTGCAGCAGAGGCAGGAGAGGCTCCCACCATCACTGCTGTGCTTGCCAGCTGTGAGCCTGGCTTCTAGCTGAGCCAGGGGTCCTCAAACTTTTTAAACAGGGGGCCAATTCACTGTCCCTCAGACCGTTGGAGGGCCGGACTATAGTTTAAAAAAACAACTATGAACAAATTCCTATGCACACTGCACATATCTTATTTTGAAGTAAAAAAACAAAATGGGAACAAATACAATATTTGTATTTGCATGTGGCCCGCGGGCCGTAGTTTGAAGACCTCTGGGCTGAGCAGTGCTCCCCCTGTGGGAGCACATTGACCACCAGGGGGCAGCTCCTGCATTGAGTGTCTGCCCCCTGGTGGTCAGTGAGCATCATACCTACTGGCCAGTAGGCCAGTCGCTTAGCCTTTTATGTATATAGATGTACCAAATACAGTGTCTTGAATACATAGTAAGCACTAGATGTAAATATGTTAATCAATATTGACTTTGTTAAATAAATTATTTGGACTATCATGATCAATTTTGAATTAACATTTTTGCTTGAAATGCTTAGATACTTTCAACTGGAACATTATGGGATATAAATTAAAAGCCAAATCTTGAACACAGAAAACACAGGTAAGAGAATGAGTACTAGACTACTTTTAAATATAATCTCTTTCACCTGGCTTGTGTTGCTCAGTGGTTGAGCATCAACCTATGAACCAGGAAGTCATGGTTTGATTTCGGATCAGGGCACATGCCCAGGTTGCTGGCTAGATCCCTGGTGGAGGGTGTGCAGGAGGCAGCTGATCAATGATTCTCTCTCATCATTGATGCTTCTATCTCTTCCTCTCCCTTCCTCTCTAAAATCAATAAAAAATGTTTTTAAATATATAACCTCTTTTCAAAAACCATTCAATAAACTAAATACTTAATCAGCTCTATTATTCAGTACCTATGCTACTTTGGGAAAATTATTTCAGTTCTCCTAACTTAAAAAAAGTTGAGCCTGGCCGGCGCAGCTCAGTGGCTGAGCATCGACCTATGAACTAGGAGGTTGCAGTTCGATTCCTGGACAGGGCACATGCCACCCAATTACAGCTCAATCCCCAGTGTGGGACATGCGGGAGGCAGTCAATCAATGATTCTCTCTCATCACTGATGTTTCTATTTCTCTCTCCCTCTCCCTTCCCCTCTGAAATTAATAAGAATATATTTTTTTTAAAGTTGAGATTTAATCATGTTATCTCCAAAGGTCCTTTCAGCTTTGAGTATTAAGTGCTCATTAGGTCATTAACTGACTTTCTTTTTTTGATGGGGATCCTATAATGGTGAGTCAGGGTGATTATATGTATCTGGACTTCAGTGTAGTACTTATCAAAATTTCCCATTATATATCTACTAGAGGCCCGGTGCACAAAAATTTGTGCACTCAGGAGGGGAGGGGGGTCCCCCAGCCCAGCCTGTGCCCTCTCGCAGTCTGGGACCCCTCGGGAGATAACGACCTGCTGGCTTAGGCCTGCTCCCGGGTGGCAGAGGGCACGCCCAATCCCTAGGTGCAGCCCCTGGTGGGGCTCAGAGCAGGGCTGATTGGGGAGTTGGGGCGCCACCCCGTCATGCACAGAGCAGGGCGGATCGGGAGGTTGCGATGCCACCCTCAGTCACGCTCAGGGTAGGGCCGATTGTGGGGTTGGGGCACCGCCCCCTGTCACACTCAAGGCAGGGTCGATGGGGAGGTTGTGGCCCCGCCCCCTGTCACACACAGAGCCACAGGGCGATCAGGGGGTTTGGGCGCTGCCCCCTGTCACGCTGATCCCGGTGCTGGGAGGCATATTACCCTTTTACCATATAGAATAGAGGCCTGGTGCACGGGTGGGGGCCGGCTGGTTTGCCCTGAAGGGTGTCCTGGATCAGGGTGGGGGTCCCCACTGGGGTGCCTGGCCAGTCTGGGTGAGGAGCTGAGGGCCGTTTTCCGGCTGGCGAGTGACTGAAGCTTCCAACCGCTCCTTGTTTTCTTTCTTTTTTTTTTTTATTCTGGGCCAGCTTTAGCTCTGAGGCCTCACTGCTGAAAACATCGATACAATGTTGCGGTCCGGCTGGTTTCTGGGGTTTTGTTTAGCTTCTTATTTGCAACATAGTACATAGTTGCTTAGAGTTGTAGCTGAGAGGCCGGCAAGTGAGGCGGGGAACGTTGGAGTCCGCAGTCACTGGAGCAAGCAAGCCTCCCTGCTCCCTTCAGTGCATGGCTGCCGGCCGCCATCTTGGCTGACAGTTAATTTGCATAAGGATATGCTGATTAGCCAATGGGAAGGGTAGCGGTCGTATGCTAATTACCATGTTTCTCTTTTATTAGTGTAGATGAGTAAAAAGGAAAAATATGGTCTGCATGTCAATGTCAGTAAAGTTTTATGTATAACTTCAACAGTAAGATCCACCGATGCTAATTAATTGGTTGGTGTCAATGTGGTAGGAGTCATGTGTCACAGGACTCTGTACTGTTCAACATTTTTATTAATGTCTTGGATAATACTGATTTCATGCTGTGTGTAAGCTGAAAGTCCTGTATGTAAGCTGAAAAGTCAGTTGTCCTCAAAATACTTTATTGGCTGTCTTTAAAAGAACAGGTGAAAAGGAGAGTTCAGTAGTGAGTTTAAAATAGGAACTATTATAAGCAGGCTTTTCTTACACACACAAATTAAAATGACAAATAAAAAAATAGTGAGTTTAGTATGAGTCAAAAGTGTAATGAGGCTTCTCTAAATATCTACTGGGTCTTAGACTGTGCTGATAAAAGCTTGGCATCCACAATGAGGATGATAATGATCCTGCTGTTTTTTCTGTTCTGGCCAGATCCTGGAATGTTCTCTTTAATTTTGGACAGGATGCTTTAATTGTTGGTATATTACATCACAGTACAATTTTTATTTTTGAGTTTCTTTTTTGAAAATTGATTTGTATGGTTAATAGTTCATGATTTTTTTTCTTTCTTACAGGTCTTCCAAAGAAAAAGAGAAAATGCTATATAGTTATATTTACATAGAATAAACCTAATTTTATAGAATAAAACTAATTTCTCTTGAAATTATTATGTAGGTCTATTGTTGGTTCCTTTTATAAATCTAAAAGTAAATAGGTTAAGAGTAAATTTATAAATCTTAGATTAATAAAGGGTATAAGGGTATACAAAAGGTATAAAGGCATAGGGATAGGAGTATAAAAGGATTAAGAGTATATATAACATAGTATCTTAGTGATTTTTCCTATATTTTGAAATATTTTGTTATTTCATCATCCATAATGATGGATTTCAGTATTACTAATCAATTACTCCTATTTTTAAAAAAAGACTATAATAATAAAATGGAAGAATTGTTAGAATGGCCTAGAAAGGTGACATAATTGTGAAATAAATTGTAGGTATTGCATCATATTTTGTTTTCTTATTGCTTTGCCCAAAGAATCACATCATCTTTCAGGAAGATATAAAAGAAGTTTAGATACATTTTTCTCATCCTCTATTTTCAGCTTTCATTGAACACAATTGAGATTTTAGAGTTTATTTCTTTTTGGTCCATAATGGCAAGGAAAAGAAAGTTGACAGTGAAAAACATTTCACAATTATTGGATGAATCAGAAGATGAACATAGAGAAACAGATAGCAGCATTTTGGATGCTAATGATGATGTTAAAATTCATTGTATAAGCAAAATGAGAGATGATACCTTAGTCAGTGGTTCTCAACCTGTGGGTCGCGACCCCTTTGGCGGTCGAACGACCCTTTCACAGGGGTCACCTACGACCATCCTGCATATCAGATATTTACATTACAATTCATAACAGTAGCAACATTACAGTTATGAAGTAGCAACAAAAATAATTTTATGGTTGGGTCACAACATGAGGAACTGTATTTAAAGGGCCAGAAGGCTGAGAACCACTGCATTATGCTAGATGAATTATCTCTAGCTCAAGACTCAATGAATGAACATTATCTTTCTAAGAATGAGAAGGATATCTGGCATTCTCTTCTAATTAGTCCTTCAACAGGAAGGACTTGATCCTGAAATATTTTGTGAAAATGGAGCCAGACCATATTATTTTGATAAAGGATACAGACAGTATTCTTTCCTTTTTAAAGTGGTTTATACACAAGAATGTACTTGATAAGGCTAGTAAACAGACAAATAAATGCCAGATGTGAATACAAAGGTAATTGAAAGAAAATAGATGTAGAAATGAATAAATTCATTGGACCAACAATTGTAATTGTTTATAAATCAAAGATGAAAATGGTTTTGCAAATATGGAGAAAGAATATGGCAGTCTTCTCTTCAACAAAATATGTGTCTTCCTAGTTTTCAAAAGTATTGTGTTATGATAAAGTGCAAAAAGAACAATAATAATGATAACTAGAATCTATTACAAGATGTACTTAAAATCTGGACTCAGTATTTATAAAATGGCTATATTTCAGACTCATGCATAACAACCAATGAGCTTTTAGTTGCACTAAAAGTACTTTTTCCATTAATCTTCAAAACCAGGAAAAATTAAATAAAAATTTGGGATAAATTTGGAAATAAAATGTAAATTCTTATTAAAATTTCAAATAAGTTGTTTTCACTGCCCCTTTGTTCTTATATTTGAAATTATTTATAAAATGCCTTAAAAGTAAAATAAAATGTCCAGTGGATCATAAATGGTGTTGAATATTTTTACACTGGTCCACTGAGGGTTAAGAGGGGCTTTGCCAAATTTCAGAAATATCCAGATCTCAGACACCTCAGGTTGTTTAAAGTTCTGGATTCTCGCTTTCCCCAGGAAAAAGCAGCTATGCATGAAATTGTGTATATAAAACTCCAGAAGGCACGCGGACTCCCTGAAGTTCACAGATAAGGAAATGGAGACATCGAGAGAATAAATAACTATCCTGCATTTGAATTTGCATCTAAGGCATTATAATTCTGTCACCCAGGTTTACTCTAAACTCCATTTAGCTTTTTACACCTGGAACTATCCCTTGACCAGTTTAATACTGAAGTTGTTAATGTGATTACTTTTAAAACTAGAGTGAAGCAATAAGGACTATGCTTTAGAACATGTTTTTCTCTTTTCTAGTCCCTTTTCTTCTTCACATTTCCCCAGTCAAGGAGATGAAGTTGGGTCAGTCTCGGGGTGCGTGTGTAAGCTCTCTGTAATGTAATCTTATCAAGGCAATAACAAATCTCATCCCACCATTAACCTCAGGTAGTCAATTTCTTTCTGTCACGGAGGGTCACTATCTGTCATCAGGAAAGAAAAGAAAAGCTGATAAATAGGGCATCTACTCTATATGTATAGGAGACAGGAGACTGCCACGGATATTAAAAGAATCTCAGCTGGGTCATTTATGAGGTAAAGGAATTATTCTCCTTCCGATGGCTGCACACCTGCAACTGACCTTTTACCTACCAGCATGTGAGTTACTAATCAATAGAACAGGTATAATAGCTTGTCAAGTTTTATTGCTTAGAGAGCTAGCAGAAGAAGGTAAATTTACTGGTAGTATGTACCAAGCACAAGCTCATTCTCCCATGGTTAACACGTTATCATCTAACAACGCCACTAGTTGGATCCCTTGATTGGTGTATTCTAAGGCCACACTGTTCCTCTGTGGTGCAAAGTTGAACGTGCAAATAAAACACCTCCACGCTGCAGAGGTGCTCAAGGTTGGGGCTGCAAGAAGCTGACATGGGGCCTCTGGGCAGTTTAGTCCGCATATGGATCCATCTAGATGTGTCACAGTGAGGGGAATTCTGAGTTCCGTTTTGTTCCAATGCAACGTGCAAATATACAAAGAAGACCTCAAGCAATTTGCAACTTAAAAAAAAAAACTACCATGGGAAGGAAAAAAACGTAACTGCAAAGGGAGTCAAAATAATTCCACCTGGTGGAAGACTACTTCTGCCTCCTATCACTTAAAAAACAAAGCGTCTTTTTAGCAATATTTCTGTAGCAACTCCTAAACGTGGGCTTGTTCAGCTTGCTGTGGCCTTGGGAAATTAACATGTTTCTTCAAGGCCATTACACAAGTGAAAAATGTATAAATTCGTGGCTGACTGCCAAAGAGCTCTACAAATGTTCCCAGGGGTCAGTCGCGATGTCCTCGGACGGACATGGGGCTTCCGCCCCCACAGGGGCCTCTGTCCCCACCGGGGAGCCTCCCAGCTCACCTTCCTCCTCCTCCTCTTCGCCCTCGGGCTGCGAAGGGTGCTCGGACTCGCCCGGGTAGTTCTCCGCCTCCTCCTCGGCCTCGGCCTCGCCCTCGCCATCACCTTCGCCTTCGTGCTCCTCCTCGTCCAGGGAGCGGGCCCGGCCGGGGCCCTGGAGGGAGGTGAGGTTGACCCC